TTGAAACGAGATACATGTGAAGAGGAATTTGAAAAAGGAGACAAATATCCTCAACCATATGCTACGTCATTAGATATACCAAATTTTATTAAAAAAAAAAAAGACAACAAAACCAAAACAACGTCATCTTTTAAAGTATTAATTAATGATTAAAAGTTAGAAGTTTCAAACATAAGTAATTTGTTTTTGGTAAATAAATAAAGCAATTATTAAACCATCAACCTTTTGCTTAGTAAAAAGAAATTAGTATAGGTAATGAATTTAAATAATTTAATGATTATCTCATTTCATTGGAAGTAAAAAGTTCTGAATTCGAGTCGTATAACATGCAAGTGGAGTGAGATAAGAAATGTGAGATGGTTATATATCATTGTGCAACCAAAATTTTAAAAAAAATAGTATATTTAATATTTATAAGCAATATTAGAATAAAATAGTTTATATAGGGCTTTGCAAATTTTATGTGAGATGGTAATGTGGTGTTTGCTTCCACATATTTTCACAAAAAAATAAAAAAGGCACTTAAACCGTGGTTTTTCTCTTCTTTTTTTAAGGTATAATTGAAGTTGTTATCCTTCGTTCACTTTTTTTTTTCCATTTAAGTGAAAATCTGAAATTAAAAGAAAATTTTTTTTGAGAAATGCTACTATTAAGAGAAAAAAAAGAAGAAGGGGGAAATGGTTTTCAATTATCATGGCACATGGGATTATCATCCATGTCCCATTGGGCCATTAGCAGTCGCTGTAACGAACCCAACAGTTTTCTTGACTTGTCTAAGTTAGCCACCCACTGAATTTACCAATTTCTCCCCACCAAACCTTTATTAGTATAACTAATCACCATAATCTACTCACTAATCAAAAACAATGAGAATTTGACCCATCAATTTGCTTATCAACATGTATTTTTTATTATATAATTTATTATTTTTAAAGTATATAAAAAAACAAATATATAAATTCACAAAAATAAAAAAGATAAATGTATGCATGAAAAGTGATTTTTAAACCATGTTTATTGACAATAAAATCTAACCACATGGGCACATCATAATTATGATAAAAATGATATCGTTATACCTACAAGTCATATAATTAATTTTTTTTTATATTGAGATTTATTTAAATATTATATATATTTATTGATTAAATAATATTTTATAATTATAAATTTATAATTCTACATGATGGCATTGTAATTATATGTTTATCACAATTTTTTTTATTTTAAAATATAAATAAAATGTGTGAATCAATATATATCAATTCATTTAATATTATAATAAAATTTTAAAATTTATAACAATAAATTTTCATTGTTAAAAAAAATCATAAGAGTAAATTTATAAATGCGGTAAATTAGTACCCATCAAAGGATGCAATGTGGCATAAAACAAAGTAGGATGATTCGGTTAAAATGGTACTAGTAAAAGAAGAAATTAAATTAAAAAATCAAAATCCGCTCAAATATTTCAAATTGGATAATAATTTGATTTTCAAAAATGGATAATGATGGTGTGAACAATATAAAATTAGTAAAAAAAAGATTTTACGCTAAAAAAAATACCCAAGAAATCCCAAACTAGCAATTTATAGAGTACCAGAAAGTTGTAAATAAAAATAATAAACGCATATTACCAAAATGAGCAAAATTTGCATGTTACCTGTCTGCTTCCTCATCCACTCATCATCACTCATTTTTTCTAAGTTTCATTTCTTACGTATCTTTTTTTTTTAAAGTTATATACTAAGAAAAACTAATTATTTTTCTTTTTTTTTTTTCATATTTTATATCCAAAAATATATAATTTTTGGGTAGTGTGTGTCTTTTGGTGGAGGAATGCTTGTCACCTACTCCTTTTAAGTTCCCAATCTCTTTATGCTACTCATGCTTTTTTAGAGAGAGAGAAAATTGAAGTAAAAAAATTTTAAAGTTCTGATCTTTGCTTCCTCTGCTTCTGCTCTGTTCTGTTCTGTTTCTGTCGATGGAGAGGCAGAAATGCAAGCTCTGTGGTCGGAGTTTCGCCAATGGCAAAGCTTTGGGGGGTCACATGAAGGCCCATCTCGTCACCCTTCCTTTACCCCCCAAGACCGGCGGCGGTGGCGGCGATGATGATGATGGTGGTGGTGGTGCTGATTCTGCTTCGTCTTCGTCGTCGTCTTCTTCCGGGGAAGAGCGAGAACAGGAAAGCAAAAGTAGGGAAGTGGAAGAGAAATCTTTGGTTTATGGGTTGAGGGAGAATCCCAAGAGAAGTTTCAGGTTTGTAGATCCTGAGTTCTCTTTTGCGGTAGATTCTGGGTCTGTCGTTCAAGACAGGGAGAGCGAGACCGAGTCGAGAAACCCGACGCGGAAACGATCTAAAAGGAATCGGAAACCGGTTGCTCCGGAGAGCCAGAAGCAGAATTCTGATGACAGGAAAATGAAAACGAGGAAACCCAGTTGGGCCGAGTTCCCACCGGAGCCAGAACCACTGAGTTCTATCTCCGACACTTCGCCGGAAGAAGATGTTGCTATGTGTCTGATGATGCTTTCAAGGGATGTTTGGAAGGTCAAACAAGTTAAGATGGAAGCTGCAGAGGCGGAGGATGAAGAAGAACAAGAACCAAAACCAAAACCAGAACCAGCAGAAGCGATCAAGTTCACCAAGATTCGCGGGAGGTACCGGTGTGAGAAATGCGACTTGTCGTTTCGATCTCCCACCGCATTGGGCAGCCACAAGAGAATATGCTCGGAACAGGGGAAAAAGACGATCTTCCAATGCCCGTACTGTGACAGGGTGTTCGGGTCGGGCCAAGCACTGGGTGGACACAAGAGATCTCACATGCTTCCATCAATCGCTGCAACTTCAACCCCACCGGAAAAGAGTCCGATCGATCTAAACTTACCAGCTCCGATGGAAGACGATGAGTTCAGCGTATTATCCGATGCGTAAATGAAGAAACCCATCAAGCATTTACAGAATTCACATGGATCTGGAGCTGTGTTTTTTTCTTTTATTTGTTTATTTTTAACTGAACCTTACTGTAGCTATTGAAATTTTCATCTTTCCTTTTTTGCGTAGATTAAATTAAAATGTGTGTCATTGTGAGTACTACTAACTGCAGTGGTTCTGATTTTCTTGGAAGAATTCTTTTCCGGGAAAATGTTTCCCAAATTCTGTTTGGGATATATATGGGTCATGAACTCATGACAGGGGACGGGATCGAATTTCATTTCATGTGTATCCCATGTCAGATGAAAAAAAAGAAAAAAAAAAAAGGGAATTTTTCTTAGGGGGGATTTTTGTTTACTTGTGGACCAAGCAGTACTGAAGTCTGCTGCAAGTACTAAAGTGTTTCAATTCTGTTTATGCATATGTCCTTTCTTCTGTCTTCCACCCTGTTTTTTCATACGACTTTTCTCATTTTGGGTTTGTTCTGTTTCAACAGCCTACTGTTTTAGCTTAGAGCTTAGAATGAAAAACCTTAATATTAAATGTATCAATTTATTTAATAATATGTAAAAATTTTATAAAAACTTAATATAAAAAAATTGTTCCTATAATATTATTAAAAAAAAATTTAATAGTATCCTAATGAAGACAGAAGATACTAGTAGTGTTTGAAACTGATTCCATCCAATTGAAATGATTTGAATGGATCTGATAAAAAAGATTAAGTGCTTGAAGATGAACGAAGTTTCCGGGGAAAAGGATGCAGCGGCATACATATGGCATATCATTCACGCTGGAAGAATCTGTCAAAATTATTAAATTTAGATGATATATGAGTACTACAGTGTCAAAGAATACTACTAATTAGTGGCGGAATAAAGGGCCCTGTTTGGTCAATTTATAAGAATGGTTTTCGGGGTTGCTTTCTTTGACGCCGGTGAGTTGTTGCTTCAACAGTTCTCCCAACTATACAAAATATCTAACACTTGCTATTCTTTTATATGTTTGATAATAAATTATATAAAAATAATTCTTTAAAATCTCATCTAGATCGAATTTGAATTTAAATTCAAATAAAATTTAAAATTTAAAATTTTTAACAATTAAAATTATTTAATATGGCACTGGCCCTTGAGGCCTAGTGGCATAGCCACGATGCATTCTCCTTCCTCGACAGGGTTCAAAACCTGCCCTTACAATAGACGTTCAAAAAAAAAAAATACTGAATATGATGTTATTTTTTTATATTAATTTTACAATAGGAGATATTTTTTTTTTAATTTTTTATCTTATTTCACATGCACATTATATAATTTAAATTTAACATTTTTTATTTTTAATAAAAAAGAGATTATCACCTATTTTTAAAATATTGAATTATTGTCACTTTAGCATTTACTAGGGGAAGTGGGATATATATTGTGGCAATTAGTTAGCAAGGTCCAAGGAGTAATGTGAGTTTGGTTGGTCCATGCCATTGTCATCTTTTTTAACGGACCTGGCCTTTTCAGCATCGTCACTCATTTTCTACTATCGAGGCTACTAATTGCAAGTAACTAGCTAGTTTATTCATCATCTCCCTCATTCATTTGATATTCCATTCCTTTTTAATGCAGCATTTATTGTTGAGTGAAATGTCCAAATGGCATAATCCATAATTCCACATAGTAGTAGTGTTAATTTTCTGCTGTGAACCAGAGAAATGATCATAGTTACCAACCCATAAGCAATTGTTAAAGTTCCAGTGTATAATTATATTTGATTGTTCGAACTAGTTAATAAATATAATTAATAATTAATAAAAATAACTAATATTATGACTTCATGTTTTAAAATTGATATATAAAACTAATATTTTGAAATGTCTTAATTAATTATAAATTAATAAAATTAAACAAATTAAACACTATTATAATATTTTATGTGGCCTTAAGAATGATTTGTTTGTCCATAACTGTGGCCCAAAGAAATGGATTAGAGCTAGAGAAATATAGAAACATTATAGGCCAAACGAACAAACTAGGGCGTTCATTCACGCAAAATGTTTTTCATAATAAAATTATGTAATAGAAAAAAAATGCATGTTACTTTCCTTTTAAAAAAATTTAAGGATTTAGAGACTTAAAATTATATTATTTTAATAAACATTTATAACAAATTACTAAAATAAGTCATTTCAGAAAAAATATTTAAAAGCACTATTTTTAATTTTTCCTTAAATGTTTATTAAAATGAAATAGTGTTGAATCTTTAAACTTTTAAAGTCATAATCCTAGTTATATATTGGAAAATACTATTGGGATAATACTTTTGTTTCACTTTTTTTGTAGAACTTGATATGTAATTAAAATGATTGGTTCTTTTAATTCATATGAAACTCATGATATTGAATGTATCAACTCATTTAATGTATTCACTCATTTAATAACATGTGAAAATTATACAAAAATATGAGATAAAAAAATTATCCCAATAGCACCATCCTTATATATTATGGTTAAGTGACATTAAATAAGTAGGTATAATTTACATATTTCATTAATTACAAAAATCAATTATATTTACCGTATCAAACTTCATAAAAAATCTAATATTACTCCACCCCATAAGGATATAATTTATATTTGTGTGAAATATCTTTACATATTGTTAAAGAGAAATTAAGGAAATATTTCTTCGTGGTTTTTTATTGGAAGACTAGAGAGATGATGGTGGGAGAATGGGATTGCTGGTTGTGATTGGGTTGACGGTTGCGTGGTCGGTGCAGGGATCTCTCCGATTCATTCATCCTTTGATCGTAGCAGGGTGGGGGTGGGGGTGGGGGTGGAGTAAAACATGTGGAATTCGCAATGGAGTAGCTGTCTACTTACTGTCTCAGAGCAGCGTGACTTGTGCCACGCTTTATGAAAACTGGGGAGCAAAGAACTGAACTACGATGAAGTGGCAACAGACTTTTTTTTGGGTCAACTTCTTCTTTTCCCTTTAAAATAAGAATTATTCACTGGGCCCACCCGATCTCTTACCTCCCCATACTAGTATTTTTTTTTTGTAAGTATTAAAATTTATTATTAGAAAAGTAAGAATTAAAATATTTTAATATTAATTAATAAACTTAAATAATTTAGTAATTATCTCTTTTTGTTAAAAATAAAAAATTTTGAATTCGATTCACGTAACACGTGAGTAGAGTGAAATAAGAGATATGAGATGGTTACTTTTCATTATGTAATCAAGATAAAAAAAATCAGTATTAGATTTATAATTCTAATTACATTACGAATAAAATTTAAGTAAAATTTATATTATATTATGATTTATTTT